CTTGCCCCCCCCCCCTCAGAACTCGCGAACGGTATATCGTAGGACCACCAAAATTTCAGAGGATGGTGTACTAGTAACAATTTATCATATGTACGATTTTTAGGTCGTTCTGACGTAATATGACGTCATTATGACGTCATTAATGTGATTTTATTGGCCAAAACCGTCTAGATAGGTTATTCCCTTAAAACAAAACAGTATACGACGTAACTTTACCAAAAGTGTTTATGACAGAATATTAGGATGTACTTAGTCTTATGTTGCCCATAGCAACACCGGTGACGTCATAAAATGACGTCATGCATATATTACCTATCCGCCATCTTGGATCATCAATCTTGAATTTTGAAAAATAGTTTTTTTTCAGGATAAAGCCTAAAATACATTGTAAACAGACTGAAGAAATTCATATGAACCTTTTTTGTAAAGAGAAATGGGAGTATTTAGTTTAATGAAATTTTAAGGAAAATAAGCTGTATTTACCTGATCTAATGATATGGTCCGCCATCTTGGATTTTGGCCAATGACGTCATCAAATTAGCATTAATTATGCATTTTTGATTATAAAATTTACATATAATTATATGTGATGTTATAAATATTAGAAACAATGTGTAACTTGACATAAAACCCATAAAATTCTGTTGTTTAAATGGAAATTATTAAATTTGGCAAAAAATGCCTGTCAGAAACCCGTTGCCATGGAAACAAGAAAAATCATAATCTTATTCAACTGATACAGATTTGTTGCCAACAATATTTTAGGAAAAGTCACCAAGTTTGGTGGTTCTTGCTCTAGCCGTTCAGACGCTATGTGACATCAAAGTTGCCGCGGGCACTTTTCGCCCCCCCCCCCCGGTCTAGATAGGGTTAAATAGCTGTACTTGGAAGAGACAGTGAAATTTAGATCCCCTCATGAAGTGTTCTGCAATACTGTAACTTTAAAGAAGTTAAATAAATAAATTTAAAAACCTCTGAGCACAGGGAGGTCTATCCTGATGACGTAATCCATGGAGTCGATCTCGGCACCACAGCGGCTGCCTAGGAGAACACCGCTGTTGCCCACGACTGCGCATGTGTTGTAGTGACCAATGGGAAGCGCGGGTTTTGTGACGTTGCCCCACTTGTGCTCCTGCAGACGACTTTTGAGGTTCAGTCCCACCGCGGTGATATTTCTGTAAGACAAGTGAGTAGGTATGCCTAAGGCCACAGTAAATATATAACTAATTTTTATGGAGGACTCGCGCATTAATATGCACCTGAGTTTGGAACAAAATCAGACAAAGTTATCTGATGCCATGCCTGAACGTGGATGGCAGATAAATATAAAGAGAAGAGACAAGACAAGGGTCTGTTTTATGTTTTGTCTGTTACTTTCATGTAGTGATGAATTTCATTCCCTTTATATGCGATGATCACTGAATCAAAACTATATGTACAATGATTGAAAACGTTTTTGTTTCAGTGACAAGTGGATGTTGTAATAGTTGGCAGTAAACCTGCATGTAGCACAATATAGGTATCATTTTTTTTTGTTTAACAAGGATGATGATCTCAAAATTTGGAAATGTAGGGACCTTGTTTTTTATTTGGTCCGCCTTGTTTTTTTTCACTCTATCGCATTAGTTTTGGAGTCTGCGAAGGATGTCATCCATAAAATGTACTTTCTGCAGCCTAAGTAACATTTCCAATGGAGTACCTATTGTATCCAGAACCAAGCTCGGGCACAGTTCTGGATAGTACACGCGTATCCAGAACCGTGCCTGGGGCAAATCTACGCTCTTGGATACGAACAAAAATTCCAGAACCGTATCTGATCACAACGCTAACCCACTCAGACAATTAACTAGATAGGCCCATATTTTTATACTTGCTTCCATACTTGCTCTCTAAAAGTATGGGGAGCCCCGGTGTACAAATAGGATGGCACCAGCGCTATAATTATAAAGTACATTGTACTAGTATATGGGACAAATGAATGAAAATGTACTAACTACATACAGGGATGCCAGAGTATACAGTGCAATTTTACGGAATCCAGTGCAATTGTATTACATGTAGTATACAGTGCAATTTTACCGTAGTAGAATTGCACTGTATACTAGTAAAATTGCACTGTATTCCGTGAAATTGCACTGCATTCCGTAAAATTACACTGTATACTCTGGCACCCCTGACATATATTTAGTTAAATTTTACTGACCTAATTTCTTTCAATGCTGTGGCGTTAAACTTCCACGGCGAATCCGGAGCCAAGTTTCCAAATACCCAGTCTGGCTGAGTTGTTGGAGGAAGTGACTGAACCTCCTTGGTGCTAGCAGCTTGCTTACTGTTCACTTGCTTAAGGAGGTTTAATATGTTTTCAACCTCCTTGCTAGTACTGGTTTGTCCGGTCCTAGTAGGCATGGTGTGATTTGTCGTGTTGACTGGTGACAATTCTCTGCATGTCGAAATAAGACATAAATAATATGTCATAATCTGCTTATTAGTTAACAGCGATTGTCTGTATGCATATTACTGTAGAGACTCCAATGTGGTAGAATCGGCATTGTGACCGGTCGGAGTTGAGGTCTCGACAGAGACTCGAATCAGGATGCTGTCATTGTGTTACTACTATACTAGGATATTGTTTCCCAAGTCCTAAATTCCAAGCCAGTACATTGATCATGGTAATTACTGTATAAAGTGGCAGGAATCAAAGTTGAAACTTTCTACCTTTCTCAGAGAATATATATCTAAGTCTATTTATAGACTCCAATCGGAATCTATACCGGTACGCATTCGGCTATTCTACTGGATCTGTGCATCTACCATGACACATATTTACATATCTAGTGACATGTACCTAAGTATATAATGAAATTTGACTTACCTAACTTCTTTCAAATATTCTGCTTCAACCTGTGGCGGTGAATCCGGCGCAGAGGTTCCAGATATCCCACCTGGGGCTGACTGAGCTCTCATGACCAGGGCAAGTGACGGAGTGGGCATCGCGTGGTGTGACATTTTGATGACCGGCACAACCAATTCTCTGCATGTCAACATAACGACAATGTTAAAAGTTAAACCTTTTGGTCCAACACAAAAAAAAAATTCTCTCACCTATAGCTTTCGACCAGACACTCTGGTCTTCCTCAGTAGACTGACCCAGTACTAGTGTTGACGTCACACTTCAAATAAGCCACGTGACAAGCTTCGCTGGGCCAGTCTACTGAGGAAGACCAGAGTGACGGGTCGAAAGCTCTAGGTGAGAGAATTAGGTCAGTGTGGTCTGACCGTGAACATAAAGTGAATTACAGTAATACCGATCAAACTATGTGCCAGTTTGCGTTCATTACTATATTCCTAGACAAAATACGTTGTCACCTTGATGACATAACCCATATGAGCATGAACGCTGCCAGTACTGCTACACAGATCGCCATACATCTTAGTGGATTTCTTGGGATTCTCCAGCTACTGTTGACAGCAGTTGGCGCCATATACCTGTCAATGAGAACAAATAAAAAGAAATGAAAATCAAAACTGTTAAGAAATCAAGACCTAATCCCCATTTTTGATATTGGAAAAACCACTCCCCTTTACTAACACAAACAAGCAGTGTTCTCGGCCATGCATGCCACGCTACAGCGACGGTCACAACCCACCGTCCGTGCTTCTGCGTGCTGTCTACGTGCAAAAACGTGGGCAAACGTAGGGCATCCGTGCGTGGTGAGTACCGCCTCCGTACGGAATCCTACGGATTTGGGAGCACGCAGACACGCCGTAGAACTTTAAGTGTCCATAACCCATCCATTCCTTTAGCTCTTGATCTGTTCAATAGTCTAGTGAAACCAATTCTCCTGTATTGTAGTGAAATTTTAGGACCAACGGTCCAGTCACGGGATCTCATTCTCAACGGAGTTACTGAATGTCCCAATGAAAACGTAAGAACTCTAGTATCCAATATTATATTTCCGATATTGGGCAGAGATATAAATTTCAACAAGGCTCACCGTGTAGGGAAAAAAGCCGATCCATCTATGTCATCATCTAACCGCCCTATTCTTATCCGACTTAGTAACTACAATGACAAGTTAGATATTATATATCATTCCAAAACACTAGCTAACCAAAACATAACAGTAGTCCAGCCTACTATTTCTTACGAGATTTCCGACTTAGAATACGTTCTGCTAAACTTCTGTAAGATACTTCTCCGCGTCCCTAAAAGCTCAGTTAACGCTGCTGTAAGGGGCGAATTAGGCGTATTCCCACTGTACATAGATATCCAGACGCAACTGATCAAATATTGGATAAGACTAAACAACCTTCCTGATGACAGAATAGTTAAGAAAGCATATCACGAAGCCGTTAGACAAGAGCAAGACTGGGTAGTCCATGTACGAGACACACTCTGTAGACATGGTTTCCAAAATATTTGGTTGAATCCCATTACAGATGCCAAATATTTCGGATTCATTTTCAAAGAGCGCCTTAAGGACGGATTTCTATCTGGCTGGAGGCAAAAAGAATAAATAGTACTTTAAAAAACTTAGAAACATACTACAAAAATAAAAAAGAACTTTCACATCGAGAACTATCTCCTATCTGTTCAAAACAAATCCTTTATAGTTAATACCACAAAATTAAGAATCGGAGCACACTGCCTAGAGATTGAAAAAGGCAGACACAACAATATACCAGCCAGTCAGAGATTATGTCCTACGTGCAAAGATGGAGTCGAAGACGAATATCATTTTCTGATGACATGCCCCACATACGACGAAGAGAGACGCAAATTAATGCAGATGATCCGATGTAAGACTACTAAAACATTACCCAACACATCTAGAGAGACGTTCCATGTACTTATGTCATGTCCAGACACATTTTCTGTATATATAGGTCAATACATTTATAATGCCATGCAAAAAAGACATCTTAGAATAGCTGTATAAGTAGAGTCACTGAATTTTTTATCAACTACATGTATATAGTATAGCGTTTCGTGGCATTTGTATGTAGAATCTTAACATTCCTGGCAAGTAACTTAGTATACACTGTTTAGTAGCCATAGTACATGTTTAGTATAATTAGGTACAACTGCTCACTGTACCCTTCATGTGTATAGTCTAGCGTAATGTAGAATGTACATGTAGAGTCGAAATATTCTCTAGCCAGTAGCTATTTATAATACTCTGTCAGATACAATGTCCGTTGACCATATATATAGCATTATGTTAGACACATACCAACTAGTAATCTTATTATTTGCCATACATTGTACCCGTGACAATCGTTGTGCAATAAACTTTGACTTTGACTTTGACTTTGTAAAACTTTTTCTACGTGCGGTCTGTGGATTCACCAACTACGAGCGACGTGCGTGCCCCGTACGTGCCGTGCGGAGGAAGCACGTGTGAGTACGGCCTCATTACGGTAAAGTTGCAATCGCACAGAGATCGTACGTTGTAAGCACGTACAACTCACCACTTGCGAAACGTACGATGCACGCAACCGCTCACGGCCAGACGTAACGTGCAGACCACACTCTTACACCTTGCGCAACCGTGCGAGTGATGTGCGTGACGTGCGTCGACGCCACTCCTTCCCTACGTTTTCAGAAAAAACGTAGCAGACGTAGCGTCCCAAAAAACGTACGGACAAAAAGCACGTACGGCGGGTTGTGACCGTAGCTTAATCTCGAGCTCCATATATCCACAATTGAATAACGTTGGCCTAACACGAAAGAGTCCCAATATCCAATGGCAATCACTCGATATCTTTATTTGCAATCAGATACAGATTCATGTACAGGTACATATTTTTGCACAGATACAGATTCATGTACAGATATACAGATTTTCCGCATAGTATGACCGTGTCAGTCCCTACACCTGAGTGAGGGTTACAGTTGACACGGCGGCCTTCGCGTGGATTTGTTTTAAAGGGGAAGTCCAATACTTTCAGTTTTGGGGCCTTTCTACCCAAAATCCTATTTGTAAATGGTGATTTATTGGTTTCTGCCAACCCCGCACATATTTGCCGTGATATCTGACCCGATCGATGTTTCGCGGCTAGCGCCAGATTGTCCGCTAGGCGGCGCTGCGACTGAATCTGTGACGTAAAAGGTTTCATTGGAACAGATTTGGAGCGCGCGCCATTTCAGTCTGTCTGCCAGTACATAGCTCGCTGCAAGTATGCCGCGTTGTACACGTTGTGGCTGTTGGTATGGCCCTGCGTCAAAGGAGCGCGGCGTAAGCTTCCACAAGTTTCCAAAAGACCACGATAGGCTACACAGGTGGTTGGTCAGCATGAGGAACAATCTTGTAAATAAACTGACGCCGGAGAAAATCAAGGAGTTAGTACACAAGAAGAGCGTCCACTGGCGGGTGTGTTCAGACCATTTCGAGCCTGGATGCTCGTGGAACTCTAGTTGTCATTGAATTCTGTTGAAATTTTCAGTCTATATGGCAGAAGTACGCATGTAGCTAGCTGTTTTCTTTATTTAAAACAAATAGCACCTCAGATTTCAAAGCCTTACAATTCCAGATGGAACCAAAAATGTGACGACCACTGTACTAGCTGTGAGCACAATTATTATGGGAAAATGTAAATCCGACTAACACATGTGTCTAAGATTAGAACGCATACAGAAATGTACTGTAATTAGCAGACAAAAAGGTGTTGTTTTGACAAGTTGTTATAAACCACAAAACAGGAAAGGTAGTATTCTGCCACCTCAATTCCTTTCTGTTGGGCGTATGGGCGGTCGATATAAATAAATCCGTCAAAGGGTTGAGTGAATTACAACGTAAACAAACCGCGGTACTGACATGTTAGAGACCGGCTCCTGCACGCCCTGCCGGATCAGATCCCACCGAAAAATCAGCAACGTTCGGAGGTTTGCCGGGTGCAGAATCACATCGAAGTCAGGGTGGTTTCTGATGCATGGGTGGTCTGTACCGACGTTCTTTTCAGTGTCTGTCAGCTCTGGCAGGTCGTGACAACAAACACTCTCCCGTACAGAGGGCATTTCCAGGCAGTTTCTATTGTCTTCGTTTCCACACCGGCACCAGTCCCGGTTCCCCAACCTCCAACGCTCTGTCTCCACATCACCGCCATCCCAAACGTTGTCATCGCCTGGATCGGGCTCAGAGTCGCCACTACTGTCAGTTTGTGGTTCAAATCGGAAGGGTTGCACGCCCGCCATTGTTGTTTACGCTAGTAGCAGAATGAAACCTTTTTACGTCACAGATTCAGTCGCAGCGCCGCCTAGCGGACAATCTGGCGCTAGCCGCGAAACATCGATCGGGTCAGATATCACGGCAAATATGTGCGGGGTTGGCAGAAACCAATAAATCACCATTTACAAATAGGATTTTGGGTAGAAAGGCCCCAAAACTGAAAGTATTGGACTTCCCCTTTAAGGTGGAT